ACTAGGGTGGGCCACAGGATCGAGCAAGACCCACTGCCCCTGTTCAACGGCTGCGAGCGTTCAAGGAAATTTCTGCACGGTGAAGTGAATCGCATGAAAACTTGGGAAGATAGAAAGAAAAAAAAAAGAAACTAACTGAGAGATAGAAAGAGAAAGAACAGAGAAAAAGAAGAGAGTGACAGAAAGAGGACGCGAAAAGATGAAAAAATTAAAAACGACAAGCAGATGGAAAAAAGACAGAGACGTGATATCAAAGCAGACAAAAAGCAGGACGTGATACAGAAAAAATAATTCAATAAAGAGGAATAAAGAAAAAGAGAAAGGAAGAAACAGAGTGAAGAGCAATATTACTAGAAAGAGGAAGAAAAAAGAAGATATATAGAATAAATAGAAACAATTTTAAAGAAAGCATTAGAAAGAAATACGTAAAAAGACTTATTACAAGACACAGAAAGAGAAGCTTTGTGAACCTAGAAAGAAAAGTAAAGAGAAACAATAGAAACCACCCAGCTGCACTGTTCCTTCACACTATGCATTATTCATTGTTAAAGACATGGTGTGCAAACACAAACATTACAACGAAGTCAAGACAACGCAGTCAGTCAGTCAGTCAACAAACTTTATTCGGGTCCTCAGTAACTACTGAGTCGTATTTGTGGGCCGCACCTTCGTTGAAACCGAAGACCGTGGTCCTCTACCCAATCACGGGCCCTTTTTGGCAGCCCTTAATTTATCAGAAAGTGGCGGGACCGCCAGATTTGAGGGGCATGCCCACACCATATGGAAAGTATCCGCGAACGAATGGTCACAGTGCGGGCATTCCCCAGAGAATGCCGTATTGAAATGTTTGAGTATCGCCGGGCACAATATTGTATTGGTATAGAGACGGAGGAGCCAGCGCTCGTCCTTCTTGGGCAGGCCCGATGCTGGGGGTGGGAAGCGGAGCCTGTTCGATTTGTACATAGCGGTGATTTCTCTGAAAGAGGTAGCCGGATTGGGTTCTGGAACATCAGGCGATGTAGGGCGAGGCAGGTCCCGGTAATTAAGCGCGCGGGCCGAGGCATCTGCAGCCTCGTTTTCAACTAGCCCCGTATGAGCAGGAGTCCAGATGACGGTGCGTGGATTTGTGTGATCTAGATAATAGCATCGCTTAAGGATTTCGGCGGCGCGATCATTGATGCAACCCCGTGTGAGATTTTGGCACGCCCTCCGCGAATCGGTAATAATTATCCGAGATGCGGGGTCCGCTGCGGCGAGGGCTATGGCGACCTCCTCCGCGTGTGTGATGTCCGGTGCTCGAAAGGTGAGCCCTTGAATAGGTACGTTTTGGTGAACCACAGCGGCCGTGTACCACCCGCCGTGGTGGGGGCCGGATGCGTCCGTGTAGAAAACTCCCGGGCGTGAGCCATACCGTTGCTGTAGGGTTGTAGCCCGCGCTGTACGCCGCCCATCGTGAGTCCCATTTGTCATGTTTTGGGGCAGAGGCGGAATGATCAGTGCACCGCGCCAATCCTCGGGGATCGCGGTATGCTCTTCCACCTTGTGGGTGTTGGAAATGTGGAGGCGGTGTAGGAGGTTGTTCCCATCCTGAGACCTACTAAGGCGCAGGTACTGGTTATTGAGATGAGCCTCTTTAAGTTCCCCATACGTGTTTGTCATGCCCAGGTCTGCGAGACGTTGGTTCGACGTTGAGATGGGGAGGTCTACGGCACGTTTGTAAATTTTGCGGAGTATACAGTCTAGTGTATTCTCGTCGCATTTACGCAGACGCAGGTAAGGTGTCGAATAAAGGATCCGACTGGTCACGAAAGCGTTGGCGAGGCGCAGAGCAGCACGGCTCTTAAGACCTCCTCGCTTGTTCAAAACCCGGCGGATCATGCGGCCCACCCGATCCCCCACAGTGCGTAGTTTGCGCAGAGTCGTGTCAATTTTGCGGTGTTTGTGTATGAAGAGTCCCAGGACTCTGATTTCGTCGCGTTCCGGAATGGCCCTGTTACACAAGGTCAGTTCAATTTGTGTCGTGTTGTTCGGTTTGGGGCGAAGATGCACGTATTCCGATTTGGTGGGTGAGCATTCGAGACCGCATCCGCGGGCGTAGCTGTCAACTATCGACGCGGCATGTTGCAGGCATGTCTCGATGCTACCAAGGGAACCCTGAGTTGCCCATAGCGTGATGTCGTCGGCGTACAGAGCGTGCTGCACGCCTGGGACATCGTTTAGCAATGAGGGAAGGTGAGCCATGGCAAGATTGAACAGAAGAGGAGAGAGGACTGCTCCCTGTGGTGTTCCGCGCGTACCGAGGGTGTACGGTCCATGCTCCTTGTCTTGAATACGCAGGTATGTCTGCCGTTCTATGAGGAATTGGCGGACGTACCTAAAAGCATTATGCCCACAGTTTGTTTGTGATAGGTTGGTAAGGATGATGTCATGGGTAACGTTATCGAAAGCTCCCTTGAGATCTAAGGCGAGGACTACCTTGTCGTCACTGGGATGTTCGACCGGTTCGAGAACGTCACGATGGAGTTGCAGGAGGATGTCCTGAGCAGAGCGATGTGGGCGGAAGCCGTACATAGTGTCTGCAAAAGTGTGTCGGGCCTCTCAGTATTCAGAGAGCCTGTCCCGGACCATGGCTTCCATAAGTTTCCTTACGCATTAGGTTAGGGAAATTGGTCTGAGATTGTCGATGTTTACAGATTTGCCTGATTTAGGGATGAAAGTTACTAAGGCCGTTTTCCAATCGAGCGGTAGGGGTTCGCGCCCCTCCCAGATCTGATTGAAGTAGTCGAGGAGGTGAATGTACGCCGAGTCAGGGAGGTTGGCTAGGAGCCGAACCGTCACTCGATCCTGACCTGGCGCTGTGCCTCGTTTCATTTTGGACAGGGCCGCCTTCAGATGGTAGAGCTGAAAGCAACGATCCAACTCGGCGTTTTCCGTGCCTGCATATGAATACGCCGGTCCAATGGGGTCCTGTTGGCTACAGAGATATTTGTCTCTGAGAGCCTGTGCCAATTTTTCCGCGTCACCCGCATAGGCGTGAAGTGCGCGCTGAAGGTGTTTCTGTGTGTCTGTGCGTGTTTGGCTAGGCTCGATAAGAGCCCTAAAGAGGACGCCAGGTGTTGTGGCTTGACATCTGTGTGGCGGCAGTGTTGCAGCGCTCTACCCAGTTTGAGTCGGCGAGCTGGGCCGCGTACTCGTCGGCCTCTAGAGTGAGAGCCGCTATGCGGATTTTGAGCTGTCGGTTGTGTTTCTGTCGGCGCCATCGGCGCACTAGGCTGTGCCGAGCCTCCCAGAGATGTAGGAGGTGGTTGTTCACTGCCGGCGTGGCCTCTGAAAGTTGAACCGTCTGCTCGATTTTGTGGAGTGAGTTTACGAGATGTTCGGGACCAAGTGTAGCATCCTTGGTGAGCTATGGGGGTCGGATTGGAGTATACCAAGCGAAATTTGGTCCAGTCTGGAAGTTTCGCTTGGTGGTGGGGACGAGTAAGGGGGTGTGTCCGGATTGTGGTAATGACAATGCAGTGGTCACTACCGAGGGTTTCCTCGGTATTGAGCCAATCTGCGTGTTTGATGTTTTTGGTGAGTGTGAGATCGGGACATGTGTCTCGGGTAACAGAGTTTCCAATGCGGGTTGGGTGTGTGGGGTCCGTCAGGATGGTTAGGCCCATGGTGGAAATGAGTTCCGCCAATTTCCGACCACGTCGTTCCTTCCGACGATAACCCCAGTGAGGGCTGGGGGCATTGAAATCGCCTACCATGACTAGTGGTTCTTTGCCTGCCATCATGTGAGCTTTGCTAAAGATGTCGGCGTATGTTATGTTGGGCAGTTTGGGTGAACTGTAGATGTTAAGAATGTGTATGGATGGGTCCTACTTCCTAAGAGAGAGTAGAGTCACCATAGCATACGAGTAAGCCGGGTTGCATTCGAGATCCACCAAACTGGCGGTGTAATCTCGATGCACGCAAAGTGCCGTTTGCGCGTCCCTTTGATACACGGTATAGTTTGTAAGGGCGGCGTGTTCGCCCGGTTTCTGTAGGGCCACTACCGCGGGTAATTGGGGATAGGTTTCTAAGTGGAGCCGGAGAGCTGCCCGCTTAGTGCGAGCCCGAAATCCCCGGCAGTTCCATTGGAGGATTGTGAAAGGGTCTGAATTAACGCGGGCACGGCGCGATCTAGAGGCGTTGCCCGCCATCATGGGTATTAGAATTTTGGGTAGCCTCCAGGAGACCAGAGAGATCCAGAGGTGCTCCACCGCTCGGTCCGGGGCTTGCTGCTGATGTTACAGTCAATATGTTAGGCTGCCTGTCAGCCTCAGCCCTTTGGGGAAGTGGCCGGGGCGTCTGAGGTTGATTAACCCGCTTAAGTTTTGGGGTGGGACGACGGGTGCTGAAGCGAGTTGGGGCAGCTGGGCCACTATCATGCCCGGGATTCTGGCGAATACGGTTTGGAGGGTGGCAGCCAAGCGATCCTCGATAGTAGTTACTATGGAGGCCACCTGGCCCTCCAGGCTATTTAGACGCGCCTCAATCGGAGCGAGGAGTGCCGTGGTGTCCCTTTGTTCCGAGGGGGCACTATCCATCGCTTCCGGCGCCTGCCCGGAAGGTGTCGAGTTAGATGGAGGTGGGCGGTTTGCGAGTGCCTCCATTGCACGGGTCAACGAGGCCACTTGGGCCCGGAGCTGTTTAATTTCGAGTTGTTCCCGTGTGGGGGCGGAAGAGGTTTGAGGTTTGGGTGGGTTCGAGGGGGTTCCAGATGGGGAGGCTGCCCCACCCGAGTCGCTCACCTCGGGTCCTTGTCGGACGCGAGCGGCCCTTGGGCAGCAGGCTGGATTCTGGGTGACGGCGGGTGCGGTGTAGGGGAGGCAGGTGGGCCCTGGCTCGAGGTGGACCTCGCGGCGGGAGGTCCGGCTGGGGTGGGGTGGGGTCTCGCTTGGAGGGCCCGGGAGCCCCCGCGCCAGGATGCGGGGGTGGAGGAGAAGGTTTGGTGGCAGGAGGCTGGGCCCCCTGCGGTGAAGTCCCGGTGGTCGGCCTGCTTGGCTTCCGTGTTCGCCGGCGTTTGCGTTTCTTGGAGCCGGTTTGGTTCTTAGGTAGAAGAGTGGATGGTTTTGGTGGTGGTGCCCTGTAACGTTCCTTACAGCACCGGTCCCCGGTGACGTGGCGTCCGGCGCATAAAGCACACTTCGGCGTGCATTCGTGAGGTGCGCGAGCACCATCTATGAGTCGCACTGTGTTGCCACAGGTACCACAGAGGTCCGGTTTAGGGCCAGGGCAAGCGTCGGGTCGATGCCCAACTGAGCCGCACTGGTTGCAGGCTGGTACAGTTTTTCTGTATGGCTGCACCGGGATCAGCAGGGCGTCATAGGTGACGTACCTGGGCTTCACCTTTCCTGCAAAAGTGAGCCGCACCTTGTTGGAGGTGCCCAAACGCCAGATGTGCAGTATTTCGCCTTCCGGCCAGTAGAAGCATTGGCGAAGTTCGGCTTCAGAGTCAGAGCTGCGCACTGTCACCACTCCGTAGCAGGAGTCCTGGGTGTCCGCGCGGAGATACCCGAACAGGGGCACCGGTCCGACGGATGAAGGAACTGTCAGTTCACCAATGAGTTTGTCCGCAATAAGTGGATGTGGGGTGTAGGCCAGGATGAGGTTTTGGTCCTGCACCATCACGACTGTGACCAGCTGGTTCGCGTTCGCTCCGAAGTGGACGATGAGCGCGCTGCCGGCTCCGTTCTCGGGGAAAACGGCGCTGAGGGAGAGTTGTGTCCGTGCTTTCAGAACAACAACAAAATCAGTTTCCTTCGGCTTCGGCAGGGGCCGAGGCTGCCACGAGGGCCGCCTCCTCCCCTGTTGCGGGCCCGCGGAGCGCGGCGCAGGCGGCGGAAGTGTGGAGGAGGAGCGGTCTGCCTCGTCGACAGCCGTGGTCGGGGAGGCCGCATTGGCGGACGCCGCCACTGCCGCGTCGCTCGCTCGCTCGCGTCTTGCCACCGCGGCAGCAAGCGCGGTGCTCTTAAATGTTTGGGGCAGCTCCGGCCTGCTGTCCGAGGTAGAGATGATAGTCCACATCATGCTGTGGGGGTCGTATCCGGTGTAGGTGTCCGCCACGGTGACGGTCGTGGTGTGGAACCGATCGCCCATTTTGCCGGGGGGCGCCATAGCCAGTAGGCCGAGCGGGGCCGCCTCCGGCGTCCAGATGTAAGTCGCCCGTGAAAGTTGTGAGGTGGGTTCACTTGTCGAAATGGGGTGTCCAGATGAACCGGATCACGTTCCGGTGACGGTGGAGAGGTTTTCTTGAGGGTCCGAAGAGGTGGTCAGGGGTTCCGATCGAAAAACAATGGAGCCGAAACGCTGCAGGTCCTAATCAGTTGCGCGCTCGCAGCGCCCTCCTTCTTGCGGTAGCCGGGTGCGCGAGGCGATACTCGTTCGTTTTGCTGGGGAGCGCTCCAGTTAGGACAGTCGGAGGGAACACGCCACGCACTCGCCTTCTCGGAGGCCATGCCCCCTCCCCCCTCCCCGCTAACGACTAGTGGTGGCACCCGTTTAGTGCACTGCTGTGTGAGTGGGTGCGCCTGCGTTCAATTCGCGCACTCCGCCAGCGCGGGGAGCTGTCAGTAGGGAGTTTTAGTGCTGGGTACGCATTCTCTTGGGGCGATGCGGGCTTGGGAGCGCGCAGCATTGCGTGCCCAAACAATACCCAACCAGAATGCCTTTTAGTTGGCGCCATGGTGGCACGCACGCAAACGCAAGCCACACGAAGTTCAAACGTGCTCGCATAGCCATAGCGTCTTGTCGCGTAAATATTATTTAGGTCTTTTTATGATCTAAAATGTTAAATTAAACATACATAGTGAGCAGTACACTTTTTTATTGTGTACAGTGATCTGGTATACGCAAAAAAGTGAAATACAAGGTTACTGTAACGACAGTGTCAACATCTTGTGACACTTCGTGCAACCGCAGTCATGAACATGTTAGCTTACGCGCAATGTTTTTGAGGTGAAAGTGAACAAAAAGGTTACTCATTTGTAGTATTGTCGCTGCGCAGCTTTTGCACCAAATGTACAATGCACAATGTTTCTGCAATAACAAAGTTGTGGTTGTCTGTTTCACTATGGCCGCGCTAGATGGCGCCACCTATTAGGCTGGTCGGGGGCTGGCATATGTCTTTTAGTTTCTATGGTCCAGGCCATTCTAGCTTTGGAAATCTGGCTGAAACCGTGTAATCGCTATAAGTGCTCGCACTTTGGCTTATTTTAACTCGAGGGCTAGAGTATCCGCAGTGCGGAAACCGTGAGTTTTTGCGAAGGTGGACCGCGCGGACGCATGGCCCCATCGCCCCAGCCATCTTGCGACGCATCTGTTTGGGGTTTCGTGCATGCGCAATACTGCCGCCCCAACGTCCTGCGTACGCAAGCCGCTTGGGTACCCAGCACTAAAACTCCCTAGTAGGGAGTTTTTGTACTGGGTACGCATTCTCTTGGGGCGATGCGGGCTTGGGAGCGCGCGGCGTTGCGTGCCCAACCCATACCCAACCGGAATGCCTTTTAGGTGGCGCCACGGTGGCACGCACGCAAACGCAA